AACCTAAAGCGCCGAGGCCCCGGATCTTGAACGTGCCGACCCGGAGGGGCTGGCTACTGCACCTCGGCTTCCAGAGGGCGGTCGACAAGCATTCGTGAAGTGTATGAATACATGTGTGTATATATATATATGTATATATATATACACATGCATATGCATATATATATGAATGTATATGTACGTTTTTGTGTATGTATGTATGTATGTATGTATGTATGTATGTATGTATGCACATAAATGTGGGTTATGGCTGGTGCTTGATGATTCATGTGGAAGAAGTTTAACCCACGCGTCGGCATGTTTGTTAGTATCATGTGTTTCCATACTGGATCATTGTTGAGACGAGCAGAGTTGGTTCACATGATCATCGTGGTTCGGGTGGCGATGTCAGTTATGTTTTAGGGCTGCTCCTGAACCCTGAGCCGAACCACAAATACGATGTGAGTCAAGAATCTGAGTGGGGTGGTCATAGTTGAAATTGCCAAGCCCTGAATCCGACCTAAACCCTAAATCCCTAAGCCTTAAAAGCTAAACCCCTACTCCGTAAGCCCTGAATCCCTAAACCCCTAAACCAGCAGCGCCCTCCAGGTTCCATCGCCTCTTCGCAGCCTGCTTAGCATCAGCTCGTAAAGATGGCGATGGTTTAGTCCCCTGGGATTCAGGGTTTAGGAGTTTAGGGTTTAGGGTTTAGGGATTAGGGGTTTAGGGTTTACCGGTTCAGGGTTTGGGAGCTTAGGGTTTAAAGTTCAGGCCCCGAAAATTCAGGGTTTGGGGCTCAACAAGTTGGGATCCCGGACTTCTTGGCATGTTTTTTTGTTTAACACTTTGGGATCTGGGTTTGTGGTTTTGGGGTTTCTGGAGGTTCCGGGTTCAGCGCCGAGAATTGAGGATCAGCTGTCAGTCGCTTTCTGCCGAACGGCTTGTGTGTCGTCCCTTACTTGCCTTGTTTAGGGTTCTGGGATTACGGGCAACACTGTTGCAACCAAACTCGAAAAATGCCAAGCACTAACCAATGCATCCCAACAGAGCTTCAAGCAAACACACCCGGCACAAGCCACTCAATTCACCCTGCAGACAGACATTATGTCCATCCGGCCCACTGCACCCTCAAAGCCCCAAGCATCTTTCGGCAACAGACAAGCTCAGCACGTAACTTAGTCCGAAGTCGGAAGCTGAATGAGAATGCCTGGAAAAGCCTCCATGCAGGGCCGACAAAGCCTCAGGTTTAGGGTTGGTTGGGGGTTTAGGGCAGAATTCTAAACCCAGATGTTGAAGTCCTGAACCCTAAACCTTACACCATAAAGCCTTAGTCTCAAGCCCTCAACTCTTAAACCTATAAGTCTTAAGCTCTAAACCATAAACCCTAAATCTTAAGCTGTTCCAGAAGCCCTCCGTCACTGAAGCTTAGGGCTGAAAGCTTCGAGTTCCCCGATCCGATTTCTTCAAAGCATTTCTGGGTTCTCCGCAAGGAATTCAATTTACGTCACGATAAACAACTCTGCTTCAAGGTTCAGATTGGTTCTTGTTAAGGACGTGAGTTTAAGTTACCATTTTAAGGGGGTCTATATTAAATAGTAGGGTTTCTTTCTTATGGCAACTTCAATAAAGTCCCTGAACAAGAACCCAGGTCCTGGACCCTCTACAACCAAGCTTTTGGGGATTTCCTTATTCTGGTTTCCTCATTCAAGTTCTTGCAGAAGTACGTCATGTGGGTTAAGGTTCAGTCCCCAGCCCATGTGCTCCTACATTGAACCCGGCAGTTTATAATACCGCACAGCGTGTACCGTAACCCGAAATTCTCAGACCTGCATCGCAAGCCCTGCACGCTCGCCCCCGAACCTAAACCCTAAACCCTAAAGCATAGCCTTCAAACTTAGATGGGCCTGCTGAACTTCATCGGCCCCTACCTAAGCCGGATCAAGATGTCGGTGGGAGCCCCAGCGTGCCATGCTGCGATCTTAACAGGACTTCGGGGTTTCGGCTGATGAAGGGCGTCTCGGTCTTTGGTCAACTGCTAGGCCTTCAGGGGTTTCGGATTCCAGCGTGTGCCTTAACTCTGAACAACCTAACTTTGTAGGGCTCGTTATTGCGATTTCTTTATATAGGTCCTTAAAAAGGTATGTTATTCGGGGTTGAGGTGGGGCCCAGCACCTCATGGTTTTACAGCGAGATGTCGGGGTGGGGGGAGGGTTATAAAGCCCACGCAAACATGCTTGGACAAGTAGTTTCCGGGAACCTGCTACAATGTCTGCTTGAATGAGCAGTGCCGGGTGAAGGGGTGGGCTCACCATGCTCACCTTGATATAAGGTTCTGGCACGCACATTATGCATCTCGAGGTGTGTGTGTGTGTGTGTGTGTCTATATGAAATCAAAAAGTATGTATGTACTATGTATCTGACGCATGTCTGCAAGCAAAGCGGCGACGTTGGCAATGTGCAGGGTTCAGGGTTTCAGCAGAGAGCCGGCACCTGAGTACACTGCTTTGGTATGTAATATTATCGGGGCCTTAATCATTCGAGGTTAGGTTGTTTGAAATTTTAAGAGTGTGGGTTTCGGATTCTGGGTTTAAGGTTTCAGGTTTTTGTTTTGGGGTTGAGGGTTTAGGAGTGATGGCAACCCTGAGCACGGCTGCGTCGACGGATGCACGTGCTGTAAGCAATGATGCCGCACTGACATTCACACACACACACACACACACACACACACACACACACACACACACACACACACACACACACACACACACACACACACACACACACACACACACACACACACACACACACACACACACACACACACACACACACACACACACACACACACACACACACACACACACACACACACACACACACACACACACACACACACACACACACACACACACACCTTGACGTTATCTCCAAGTAGGCTTGCACAAACGCGCGGGCCTGCTTTTGATGATTCGAGCAGCTCTCGCGCAAGAGTCCTTGCAGACAGGTTTAGTTGGAACATCAAGTAGAGGATCTCTTGCTTCAACTTGCAGAATATCTTTATAGTATAGTACCCGTCTGTTAACGTACCCATATATTGTAGCAACCTCGTTCTCGGTTTTACTCGACACGAAGATCCAAGGCAACATCTGTGCGCATGTGTGCATGGATGGATGTCTGCAACATGTTTGTAGACCGGCCCTGTGCTCAAATTTCATAGCATGTAAATCACTGTACCAGCTTTCTCGATTACATCTTGTCAAGTCCAAGCATCACATGCAGTCCATGAAGGGACGGAAGGGAGGGTTTTCAATATGCCAGCTATAGCTGCACTATGGTTGCATGTAGCCGACGACATGATGAAATGGCATATGTTACGGGCATCATAAAGCAACATGACATAATATACTACATGTAGCATACTAAAAGATGAACATCTAATATGATGTACCCCAGCTGTGCCTCCAGGAGACATGCAAGTCGCTCTACAAGTTTGCCCTGCGAACCCTGCTGGCGTGATTCTGAGCTAGCCTTGCAAAGAAAACTGGTTGTTGCAATCCGATGCAGTCTGTGAGGCCTCAAAGCGTGGTGTTGTTTGATGTTGCTAGGCTTTAGGGTTTAGGGTTTTGGGGTGTGGTTGGATGCTACGAGGGTTTGTCGCTAGAACGTGTGACATGGCTTCAGCTCAGTCAGAGCTATGCCAGATCCGGGCCTTTTTTGACGGGGTATGCTTTGATTGCAGCGCATCTCAGAATCTGCAGTCCCGGCAGTAGCCTTCGAAGGAGTCCAAGGTCAGTCACTGCTTTGAACAGTTTGTTTGGTTGTGGATATTGGTGCAATGCGGGGATGTGGAGTCCTCTGGAACAAGGCCGATTTGAGGAGATTTCCAATGCTCAAACGCTAACTAAACGGTTAACCCTCGACTCGATTCATACTGAACCTGCTGCCGTTCAGGTGCTCTTGCATGACTATCCAGAGTTCCTGGCCGACTATCACCATGCCTTCTGCCGCAGCCTCCGTGCTTTCTGATCAGGGAAGGCAGCCACGAGCAATATGGTGAGAAGCAGCTTGCCGGCTAAGGTGATGTCATCCCGTGGCAATGTGTCCAGATCCGCCGCTGGTTCGCAAGATGAAGCCAAGATGAGAGAGATTGTATAGAGCCCTAGACCCTAAACCAGCGGCCCTGTACTGCCGAAAGACGTCAATTGTTCTCAAGTCGGCAGCAGACGTCGCAAAGCCACATGGGCAGCTGCCGACTTGCAACGCATCCCGTAAGCCCTAAGCCGTAAACCCCAAACCAATCTACAGACCCGCAGGCAGCTTAGTAGGAACTGCAGATATGTTTTACCCGCTCTATAGCACTCCTGATCCTTGAGTTTTGACGGAAGACCAATTGTGGACGCCAAAGGCAACTTGATATTGGCGGCATTCCCGCAGAACATGAAGCTGTCGATCTCTCAGTGCGGGTTTGCTGCGATAGGTTTGGAAGTTGGGAGCGTGCACATGCAAGGTTTTGCTTTAAGCGGTCGTATGCCCGTGCATCCCAACTGAGTGAGCTCCGCATGCTAGTCTTAACTTCAACGCCCCGAGTATTGCGGCGTCAGGTCTGAAGATTCAATGCAGAGTTTCCACAGAGAATGCCACTTTTGGTTAAATTAGATGCCAAACTGTGATGATAACCGCCAAGTCGTCTTATCCGGTTGCTGCTGTTCCCAAACCCTTAGATTCTAAGCCCTAAATCCCAAAGGTTCCCAAATCCTGCTGACAGTGGTCGAGGCCCGATCCCTTCACACAGAACCTGAAGGTGGATACCCTGCCGGAGATCAAGGCCTCATCTGATGTCACGTTGACATCACCTTTTGCGCACAAATATGGGAGTTTCCGAAAAGAGGGGATCCTAACATCGTACCCTAAATAGTAGGATCCTTGTCATAAGGACCCCAAATAAGGCACCAAGGTACCCCTAATTTTCGGAAACTCCCATGTCACGGCCTGTAATCACATCACCGTGTAGTTTGCTGCAGATGGCGCCGGTGATCCACTCCACCTACATGTCCAAGATGATGATCTCGGGCTTGAAGGCACGGAGGGACGGAGGGGGTGTGGGATTTTTTTTCGCGTTTGGGGTGCTTTCTTTGGGTGAGATCATCAGAATCTTCCTGTATCGGGTCTATATCGGGCGCTACTTGGGTGACAGCCCCACATCGCCATGAAGTATGGGTCCTTTCACCCCAGAAGTTAGCCCATCAGCCACTACCCATAGGCCCCAAAGTTGTTCCTTTTTGGGATTACCAAAAAGGATTCTATATCTGAACCCCAAAAAGGAACTACTTTGGGGCCTTTGGGTAGTGGGTATCCTGATGCTTGAGCAGGTCGGCTCCATGTTGCGGTTGTATATGGGAGTTTCTGAAAATTAGGGTACCTTACTTGGGGGTCCTTTTAATAAGGATCCTACTATTTAGGGTACCATATTAGGGTCCCCTATTTTCGGAAAGTCCCATATGTCGTGAAAGACAGCTGCAGCGAGATCTGACCGAAGTATCATACCCTATCAGGGTGCAATAGGGTTTACTCAAAGATAAGGGTTAATTTGGCTACCATACTAGAAGGATCCTCTCAGGTTGCTACCAAAAGGAGGTATAGTGGAGGTATTAAACCCTAAGCCCTAAACGATAAGCCTTTTTTTTATAAAAAAAAAGGATACGCCTAAGCCCTAAACCTTAACCGTAAATGGATACCATGCAGTAGCCCCTTCACAGGCGGACGTTGACCAGTACATCCGCACGAAGGCGACCTGGGCAGTGACAGTGGTAGGTTTGGTAGTCGTCGACGTCGTGACACTAGAAGTATCAGTAGCAGTAGCTCAGTAGCACTTGCTATTGTTGTGGCAGCTTTCGAGTTAGTGATGCCTGCTATGTTTCTCCTTCTGCTGTTGTTGTTGTTGTTGCTGCTGCTGCTGCTGTTGTCGCTGTGATTCGGAACCTGGCCGATATCATGCAACAATTTACCGGCATGATGTCCGTCTTCGATAGTAGTGGTAGCACACATGGCAACAGTCAGGATAGTCGTGGCAATGCAGGTGTTGGGCAAGTTTTAGTAGTAGTACGGGTTGAATTAGTAGTCAGTAGGCTTACGTGTCGCTCAGGCTAAAGCTCACCTATAGTCTTCACAGTTTGTCAGCAGGCAAGATCAGCAGCAGCAGCAGCAGCAGCAACACCAGCGCATGTGTGTCAAGCTGAAGTTCACCCGACAAGCTCTACCCAGACCCCCGGGAGGATTCCAAAAGTAGATCCCTTAATGGGGCCCCCAATAAAGCACCCTTAGTAGTATGGGGCCCCAAATTAGGGGATCTACTTTCAAGATCCTCCCGGGGGTCTGGGTAGGAAGTATCGTTGGGCATCGGCCAGGGGAACCGCAAGTATGGCTCAGCACAGCATGTTCGTGTCGGTTGCGAGGTTCTGTCACCAGCTTGATTTCGGGATACATGACAGGCCCATTAGTTTGGCATTTGCCGGAGCGTTCTACTAGTTACTATTAGATGTAGCAATCACGACGCCTGTAAATAAGGCTTGAATCTGAACCTCCCTAGACCCCACATAATGATTGGACCTGATACTAGAGAGGCCTTAATAATTAGAATAGGATTTGGGGGGGCATATTCTGCCGTAGATAATGGTAATAAGGAACCCCCCGAACCCTATTCCATTTACTGACACCCCTACAGCACCCCCCCCTCAATACCCCTTATAGCAATCATTTCAGACCCTTTAAAAGGAACCCTATTAAAAACTATAAGGCCCCTACATTACATCCCCTGGTTGGCGAGGACAAGACGCACTTGAAGACCATCTTGCAGAAGCAGCGCCCCCAGACGAGCGCAATCACTAGGTTTGGGAGGGGCTTAGGGTCTATGGTTCAGAAGTTCAGGGGTTCATCAGAAGTTCAGGGGTTCAGGGGTTCAGGGGTTAGTCAGCAAGACAGGAGGCTGGTATCCGGAAAGTTGCCTGGCGTGTCCTCGCCCGAACTGCCATTCCCGAAAGCCTCCTGCCATATCCCATCCTTGCATGCCTTAAACCCTATAAATATGACCCAAACCCTAAACCCTCAATCCTAAACTGAGCTTTTTGAAATATAAGCTCCATAATTGTCTATAATAATTAACTAGTCTATAACCCTATAACCCCTAACTACAAAGCCGTGAATGCTTTGAAATTGAGGCTCCTCCTCGAGGATCAGAAGCTCGCGATCGACATGGGAACGAAGCCTCGATCTCGGTCTCCAGCGCTCACAGAGCCCACGACCCCGAAATCAAGGAATATATAGGGTTTATGGGTTAGGGTTTAGGGGTTTAGGGTAGGAGCCCTTTGTACAGGAATATACAAGGAATATAATGACCCTAGAAGAAAGCCGAACACCCATAAATGAAGGAATAAAAGGCAGAAAATTGTTTTAAATCAGAGCCCAAGACCAATTAATACGGGGGTTTCGGGTTTAGGGGTTTAGGTTTTACGGCTTTAGGGTAGGGTGTTTTAGGGTCTAGGGGTGCACGGGTTCAGGTTTTAGGGTTTTAGGTTTAGTCTTTGGGGCCCAATACTGCGCCATTTAACTTACTAAATGAGTATGCCTTAAATAACAAGGGCTCTTCATTTTTGTTTTAGCTCTACGCATAGGTCCCAAAGTAGTTCCTTTTTGGGATTACCTTATAGGATTCTATATATGAACCCCAAAAAGGAACTACTTTGGCGGCTTTGGGTACTTGTATTTCTTAATTAAGGGGTGTTGGGCTTTCTGGGTGCGCCATCAAGGCCCAGCTTGCAGATGCTCCTTTCATCTCATCATTACCATTCTCATCATCACTGTTATGAGGTTCTTCCTCATATTATCGTAGGGTTTAGGGTTCAGGGTTTAGGGTTTCGGGGTGCTTTGTGAGTGTTATCATTTGGCTTGGTACCTTGTCTTGCAGCACCCGCAACCGCGCTGGACCGCTGCCAATGTTTGTACGAGATTGTGCCACAAAGTGCGGCGGGCTTTGCCATTTGCGTGAAGTTACACATGGACTAGCTAGTGTAGGAATCTGGTCGTTGAGACTGCTTCAACCGGATAAAAGGACTTCGCAAATTTCGTGAGGTGTCAGAGCCCAGAGACTCTGACACATCTGTGGCATGGCTTCCTCCGAGGTCTCCACTACTTCGGGACCCACCCTTAACCTCCTGACCCTGGAGCCCTAACCCCCAAACCCCCGAATCCAAAACCCGGCAGAAACAGGCACCAAAAATCCCATGTAAGTTTGGGACTGCCAAGGTACAACGTTTCTTTGATGAACGCGCCTGTGCCCCGGAATTTGCCAACATCATGTGAGGTAATACAATAGTATCTGTACCAATGATAGTCTTTACAATACTAATAGTAAGAGTAATACTCATAGTCATAGTATATAATAGAAAGAGCATTAGTAATATCAATAGTAGTAGCAATATTTAACAATACAAGTATGACATTTATAATTACAATATCTGTCCAAAGCCCTCGTGCAATCGATAGGAGAGGACTCTCTGCTCTTGCTTCTACAGTAGCCACAAATCCTTGTTCGAGACTTCTCGATCATGCATCCTGCTCACCGAAACCCTTAAACTTCTAAGCTCCCTAGAAACCCCTCACCCCTAAAGCCCTTACCCCTAAACCCCTGCCTATACCCTTAAGCCCCAAGTTTTCAGAGCTTGGAGTGCGAAGCCCTTGGCTGCCAGCCCGCTTTTAAAGAGCCTCAATCGCTCTGAGCTTCAAAGGCCTGCAGAGTCTGTAGGGGTTCCTTATGGTTTAGGGTTCAGGGTACAGGCTGTACAGCCTGTAGTTTATGGGTAGTGCTCTAAATGAGGATCCCTTTTTGGCCCCCGATACAATACGGCACTCTTATAACAAGTACCTGAAAAGGTACCTTATTTTAGAGAACTACCCGTATGGAAGCCGAAATAATCACCGATACCATTCTGGAGTTCCTTATGTTCATTACAGTGTAATAGACCTCGACACTCTATTCCGAATTTTTTTGTCCCATATCATATATTACAGCTTGTAAGCCTCATCAACCCCATCGCCTCAAGGTCCTGCAAGCGTGAATCCTAAATTGAGTCATCATCAAACCCATGCACGCCCTGAGAGCCTGGGAATCCTAATTCCTAGCCTACTTCGTAGAGTCTAAACAAAGCGGCCAACCACACACCCTTCGAACCCAATAATTACAACCTCACTATGCAGCCCCTCACACCTTTCTGGAGCACCCTTATGAAACTTCTTAGCAAACCCTATCCAGCGTGTGGTGTAAGCTCACCAAGCACACTGCAGTTCAGAACGACTTAAACCTGAAAGCCCCCAAACCCCAGGCTTACCCTCTACACTGGGGCGAACTGCAACCTCTTCCAGTCAGCCAACTCGCAGACGGCCAGAGCCAACGCCTCTGGCTACTGTTTGGGTGCAGGTTCTATGGCTTGGCAGTTTCGGTTTAGAGCTTGTTTGGTGGAGGATCACGTACAGACATGCACCTTCACATATGCATTCATGCATGCGTACATACATACACATATTATATACACACATAACTACGTATGTGCACATGTCGATACAGCCATGTTACAACACACACTCTCTCTACCTGCCTATCTATCGCGTACGGTTTCATGTACGCATAAATACTTTGTGACGTGCTGTTGTCGTTTGTTTGTCTGATCGTGTCTTTGTTCGTTTATGTGTTTGTTTGTTTGTGTGTTTGTTGTTGCTGCTGGTGTTGTTGTTGCTGGTGCTGTTGTTGTTGGCGGCGGCGGTGGTGCTGGTAGCGGTGTTGATGCTGCCGTTGCTGCTGCTGTTGTTGTCTTTGTCGCTGTTGGCGATCATGGTGATTACGATGTAGTTGCTGCTGCTCATGCTAGCATCTAGTACTATTACTGTTACGACCACTATAGTACTAGTGCGAGTACTAATGCAACTGTCATGTGTGCTGGTAGTCTCAAATACTATTCTTGTAAACATGGTTAATCTTGTTCTATTACTGTATGTTTTGATTTTGAAGACAGCCGTTTGTTGCCAAATAAATGCACACTTGCTAAAAGTGAGTAAGTATATATATATATACACACATTATATACATATGTACATATATTTATGTTAGTGTATGTAAGTAAGCATGCAACCATGTAAGTATGTAAGGATGTATGTTATTTGTATGTATCATGTACGTATGTATGCATGTCATGTGTGCATCCACAAGAAGCCCTGTCCGAGCCTAGCTGTGCCATTCCCCGGCGCTCAAAACTACTACAGGGGCCTAGATAATTACCAATACTTTTTTGTGGGTTCCTTATTATATAGTTTCATGGACCCCAAACCCCTGCTCAAAATCTTAATGCCCCTATATTAAAGTACCCATATGGATCCCTTATAATATCCCTTATATAGTTATAGGGCCCTTTAAATATAGATCCCTTATAATGTCCCTTACATCGAGCCCTTTAAATATAGATCCCTTATACTAGCTCTTATATAGAGCCCTTCTAAAGGGAACCATACGGTATCGTATCTGTCGGGCTCACTGAGGCCCAGACGCAGGCCTTCCCACCGTCGACCCCGAGTCCCGACCTCGAGACGTAAGCTCGATCGGTGTTTGGGTTCCACTCGTACTGATAGTGGTTTAGGGTTGAGGGGTTTAGGGTTTAGGGGTTTAGGGTTTAGGGGTTTAGGGTGTAGGGGTTTAGGGTTTTAAGGTTTAGAGAGGTTTAAGACTTTAAGAGCCTAGTATGTTTAGTTTAGGGGTTTAGGGTTTAGGGTTTTAAGGTTTAGAGAGGTTTAGGAGCCTAGTATGCTTAGTTTAGGGGTTTAGGGTTTAGAGTTTTGGGGGTTTCGAGAGGTTTAGGAGCCTAGTATGCTTAGTTTAGGGGTTTAGGGTTTAGAGTTTTGGGGGTTTAGAGAGGTTTAGGAGCCTCGTATGCTTACTTTAGGGGTTTAGGCTTAGGGTTTAGTGGTTTAGGGTTTAGGGTTTGGGGGAGATCGGGGTTTAGGTTCCACTCGTACTGATAGTCCCCAGCGTGCGCGTGAGACTAGCACAGACGTTGCGGGGCATGCACGACGACGGAAGCCATCGAAGTAAGCTTCAGATTAAGAAACTGATTGCACCCACATTTTATGGGAATTCATCCATCACCAATCTTTAGGGCTTTGGGGTTTAAGGTTTGCGGGGTTTAGGGGTTTAGGAGCCTGATATGCTTAGTTTAGGGTTCAGGAGTTTGGGGGTTTAGGGTTTTGGTTTGGGGGTTTCGGGTTCTGGGTTTGGGGGTTTGGGCTTAGGGGTTAGGGTTGAGAGCCAGGCTGATAGAAGCCTTATCGGGCTCATGGTTTTCATGAGAAGCAATATCCTGTAGGCTTCCTGGTTATGGTTGTTATAATGCAATGTGCCTTAAAGCCTTAAAGGCCGATTCCGACGAGCAAGTTCCCCGTATATTTTGGGCTGGGGGCGGTTTTGGCGATTTTCTGGGGTAGCGGCAGCAGTCGTAGCCTTAAGAGGAGTGGATGGTAGTAGTACCGTATTCGACGACGTAGTGTTCGTCGTCGTCGTGGTAGTTGGTCTCTGCGCGGCTGTGGTTGTTCCGTGGCACTTGTTGCAGGAGAAAGATTGGGAGGTGTGGGAACAGCAGTGGACTTCGCGCTATCGGGGTGTGGCGGTGGTGGTGTGGTTGCTGGGGGTCAGAAAGTTTCATCTCAACTTGAAGCCCCATTTGATTGATCCTGAAAGTAGATAATGGTTGTACCTAGTCCATTCGCCTCTAATTGCTGAGAAGCAGGGCCCGGTTTTTGCTACCACATGCAGACAGTCGCGGTTGATTTTTGTTCATTGCTGTTGGGCTGCTCCTTCGAGTTTTAGCCACAGGTCTAGAGATTTTCTCCTACCTTTTGGAGAACTTTGACTCGGAGGGGCGCTTCCTTCTGCCGCTTGGTGCCGGTTTGGATTTGGCGTGGTTTTGATCTCGAAGGCTTAACATACGGGCCTTCATAATGAGGAACCTGTCCATACGCGATTCTTTAGTTCTAGTATACAGTATACTATAATACCTCAACCCCCAAAACCTTCCTAATGACTGCGACCCTCGTTCCTGCACGGAACTTCTGTTTCGGGGTCTCAGGTTCCAGGGCTTTGTTCTAGCTGGCAGTCTAGCACAAAGAGTCTTCTTGGCTTTGTACAGTGTCGTCAAAGCACCAGAAACGGCAATAGTGGTAATGACGCGAAAAATGGTGATATACGCCGTACTTGCGAAATTGTGATACTTGTGAGACGAGACGCTGAAATAGCAACAAGACTAGCGCTAAAAGCCCAGTGATTCTCGAAGACCAGCGTAGCCCATTCGGGCATCAAGGTCCGCTGCATCAGAATCCCAGACACCAGAACCCCCAAAATCGAAAAACATGTGAATTGGTTGAAGGTTAGGCTTGCCCAATTCCCAACTATGTATTGTCAGAAGTGTTATACATTTTTCTTCCTGAGTCGTGCAGTCCCCGAGCAGCTCAGGTTCACCACCATCGCCAATCACTTGCCTGCGGCCCTGTGCTGCTGGATGTTATCACTATACAGGGATGTATCAGATCTTTGCAAAGCCTGGGGGGATGCTGAGACGTTCGATGTCCGGTTCCTGATCAGCATAGGACGGTTGATGCAGTGTTGCCGTTGCTCGGAATTGGTGGCTGTATTCATCGGTTTTCAAAAGCAGGCGCCCACCCGTGCATCGGATTTACAGGTATTAATCTTCGGCATTCTCGGCATGCATGTGCTTGTAGAGTGGCCTGCCTTAGCTAAACCCTAAACGGACTGTTTGGCTGAGGCGGTTCCCAAATCAGCACACGCATTGCTTCAGCGACTCGGCTGGCAGATGTGGCATCGCAGTGAATCATAACCTGAGACCCATTGCTCGTCTCACGAAACCCAAATCCCCAATCCCCCAAACCCTAAATCCCCAATCCCTGATCCCCCCTCCTGCACCCCGAACCCGGCTACTCATGAACCCAAAGACCCTCTGGAATCTTCCAGCTTGAGCTGCCTTCAAGCCCTAAAGCCCCAAATCCTCTGAAGCCCAAACTCTCCCAGCTCCTGGCCAGCTGTCCGAGGCTGCATCGTGCTCTGGCTCTTCCATGACACGACCATACCCGAGGTCGCTTCATGGTTGTAGGGCAGCCAGGCTAGGCGAGCCAACAGATACGAATTGCTGACCTGTCCTCTGCTCCCAGACATCTTGGAGCGTTGGACCACACGCAGACTGCAAACTCTGAGACGGGGCCGTCGCATGCAGGTGCGGGAGCAGATCACTCGTGTGCTCCTCGAGCGGCTCATCGTGCATCGGCCCGCCCAGCGCCGTTCGGACACTAAAGTGTCGTAAATCGTTCTTCAGAGTGTTGCATGCGGTTCCTCGCACAACTGACTAGACGGAATTCTGCGGCTGTTTGACTTCCTAAGCATGGCCTCTTTCTGCCTGCAGGCCGCACCCATGGGGGTTGTTGATCACCTTCATCGAGCTCATCAAGAATCGGCGGTACAACTTCTGGAGCCTGAGACGCACAGATCCGGTCCCTGGGTCTACCTAGACTAGGACGTTGAATCCGAACTTGGATGAAGACTACTGCTGCTACTGCCGTTGATGCTACTACTGAGCTTCTACTGCTTTTGCCAGTAGCACCATTGAATTGACCATCCAAACTGATACTGTTGCTGATGTCGCTTGAACGACTTGTGTGCAACTAGCTCCACTCCACAGACATTGTCCTCTTGTCCCGCCGCTAGTTCTTCCATGCATAACCGGCGGTGTCGACGAACGACGATGACGACTTTGAGCATTGTCATGGGCATAACAAAGCAATCCTCACTGCAAAGGCATATCGCATCATCGGATTGCTTGTCTCTTGGTGGTGCAACCTTAAGATCAACAGAGTATGTCAGACCCGCCATTGCACAAGGAACGGAGCCATGCACATTTGTTACTAATACGCCCAACATATCCTGCCTTGCAACCGCAAGTTGCACTGGCCACTATAGCATCGCGACAGAAAAGTAAATTCACATAAGATATGATTGTGGGATTAGCATGAAGTGCCGCCGCAACAAGCAGGAGTCCTTGTCAATCCAAGGAACTATCCATTCGTGTGCTCCGCGCCAGAGGTTCCGACAGCCTGTCAGCGTCGTCAACTTGGGTGCGAGAGATTGTTTCCAAGTTCGCACAATTATTTACTAAGGCAGAGCTTGTAACTAATGCGTTTCTTGCCGGTACTGATAGCTCATGGGTGCTGTACACTGGGGCTGTGCACTGCACCTAGCTTGACAGAGCCTTGCCTGACGCATGCATATCCTATAATGTACACCGGATGCTCCATCACGGACGAGGCCCATGAACATCGCAAGCCCAAACCCTGGCCAAGGTTGACGGCAAACAGGAGCATGATCCACAGTCTGACTGGTGAGACAGCATACCTGCAATGGCTCAAAGCTCAATCGAAGATCAGACAGCACAGCGGAAGCAGTTACGACGTCAACAGCACCGTGTGTGCCATAGAGAAAGTGATCGCGCACAGGAAGCAAGGTGGATATGGGGTTTTGCCCATAGACACTTCGATGGACAGCTGGGCAGACTGTAGAGACAGATAGGTGCAACGAGGCAAAGGGAGAGGGAGCGAGAACAAACAAATGCAGGCAACCGACGAAGAGACACTCATAAGTCAAACAAGTTTCACTGAGATAGGTAGACAGTCAAATAAGTTCGCTAAGAGGTGCACAGAAAGATCGGTAGCTAGCAAGACAGAGACAGCGGAGACCGCAATGATCAGCACAAGCCGCAACAACCCCGAAACTCTGAAACCCTGGATGCAACTGGTTGTTGCCGGGCCCTTAGTAGACAGCTTCTAGCGGGGCGCTATGAGAAAAGGGTAGCTTATGGAAGTTGAGGGTGGGACTTCAGTGTGTAGGGCTCTGAAGCTCTTACTTACAACTCCGATGCCCCGTCAAAATGGCCTTCCGAAATGCCCCGGTCCGCAGCCAGAGCCAGGCGGACGCGAAGTTGGCAGTTTCTCTACCGGGGTTTAGGGTTTAGAGTTTCGGGTTCAGCCTAACGGTTTGTTTGGGTTTAGGGTTTCGGGTTTAGGCTTTGGGGTTCAGGGCTTCGGGTTTAGGTTTTGTTGGGTTTAGGGCTTAGGGTTGATGTATCCAAGCAGCGAACAAAGCTCCAAATCACGTGGAAGCAACTCAATGCTCATGACCTCTCATGAGTAACTCTCGCGGGCCGTGGAAGTATTTAAGCTTCCCTATGCATCGGCCGATAGGAAAACCAGCATTCGATTGGTAGTTTCAAGCGGGGCGGGTCCGATTGATATTTTCAAGCGGAGCCACTAGGTTTCTGTTAAAACCAAGCGAATCAAAAACCTAGCGGGGAACCTAGCGGAGAGTGGAGCAGAAGTCAAGCGGACACACATCTTGAACGATTGTTTTCTCACTCCTCATGTTTGAAGGCCCACGAAAAGTGCATAAAAAATCGCAACTTCTCAGCGGTCTTGAGCGACAAGGCCGGAGCCCGTGTCCCGAAGGCGCAGGAGGAAGCAATCGAAGCTACCAATCCTACATAATCCTCGTTTCTATATGTCCACGTCTTGCGTGGATTCAGGAACTTGGCCTGCTCAGGAAGGTGTGCACTGTAATGGAACTTTGGCACTGGGTCATAAAGTTTCATGCCTTTCTTGGCGGCATGATCGGACAACCATTGATAGCCTTTGAGAAAAGACCACCAAACCTTCGTCATTTCCCTGTGTTGCTCTGCAGTCGGGACGTAATCGCAAACCTCTAGCAACTCATAGAAAGACGTCAGTGCCTGCAAAACCTCTGATCTCACTCGGTGCTGCTTGCAACTCTGGAAGCTCATGCAAATGCTGGCAAGGACCGGAATGAAATGGCGGGTTTCTGCAGCCTTCAGCTTCAGGCGAGGGTAGTCCTTGTGCGGGGATTTCGTGTCCGTCACCACCATTCCCAAGGTCAAGTTGGAAATTCTGGAAGAACTTCCCAGTCGGCCATACTCATTCCACACACTTTCCCAGAATCGTCCGAGATTGGTTTCCACATCATCTCCCATGTCGTGGTAGATGATCTCTTTGACCACACTTGCAGCCAAGGTTTGGGAGGTGCCTAAATCTAGCAGGTGCAGAACATCGAATTGCACAGACAAGTCATGCACAGCACTGATCTGGAAAACCGGATGAGGCGTCCTCCAAACTGGTGAGTTCTGGAAATCATTGGGTTGCTTGGTCACCCAGCCAGGCTTGGCAAAATTCCAGGGAGACTTGGCGGGCTTGGTCTTGTCACAGTCACAAAAGCCGCACATTGCATTACTCTTCCAGTGGGGGAGCTTCAACACGTTTGCCATGTACTCGTAGTCCCCCACCAAGCTCCACAGAATTCCTTTCCAGGGACCTGTGGGCAGCAAATCCTGCCCTGCCAAGTTGGCCCTTCGGGTACCTGGCTGCCAGGGCTTGCCGTCGTGAGATCTCTCCGGGTGTTTGCCTTCGAACAGGCATTCCAGCGACCATGCCAACGGTTGCCAAATATTCCTCCAGGTATCATCACCTTCGTTTTTCGCAGATGTGGCTGTGACTTTCTTGGCGAATGCGGCACAAAACAGGCAAGCAGAACTGGGGGCCAACGAGCTTGTCAAGGAACCAAATGACAATACCATGAGGGAATCCCTTTCGCCAAAAGCAACTCCATCTCCATGCAGCCACATCGGTATCGTGTGATGACTGTCAATTTGGTCTGGTTGCAAATCAGCACCGAAATGGAAGTCGTCGGACCGAATCTGGCCCCAAAACGACGGGAGGTCGGCAATGCCGAAAATGCTGTCAAACTGATCGGGGTATTCTCGGCCGATGCTGCAGAACAAATCGTGGGGAAGTAGCATACCAGCGTCCTCTAAGCTTTGCCTCGGAGCGGAACGGGGGTCAAGCACAGGGACTCTGAGCTTGTATGGCTCTGCCACTTGCACAGCCTTGCCATGCTTGCTTTTCAAATCGCGAAATATGTTCCCGGGGTAGGCACCGAAAGCGCCCAAGGCTGCAAGTTCCATGACGGGCTCTATCCTAAACCCATCCAGCACTAAAGCAGCCGCAATCCTTTGAATTGCTGTCGCTGAAACCTCGCCCTGGCTCCGTTGTAAGAGAAGCACCTGCACGACATTGGGAAGCTCTGCTTCATCTTCTTCCGGCTGCTCTTCGGCCAAACGTTGCCGATAACCCGGCATGGTCTCAGAACATCTACACGTCAATACAATTTGTGCAAAACAGATATGCGAAAACAACTGTCATAATCATAGATATATGGGTTAAAAACAACTGGTGCATTCACCCTTAAAACAATTAAACTATAGGTTCTTGAAATACAACCCTACTTGTAAAATGTCTCGTCTACAAGAATAGGGAAAGCTGAACCACAGCTTGTTTGGAACTTTAGGGGGAGGTTTATGGGTTTAGTGTTTTGGGCTTAGGGTTAAGGCTTTCGGTCTCAGTTTGAGCAGCAACATGCGGTTTCAAGTGCCAGGCCTAGGGTTGCAAAAATCCTGGGCCCAAAACTGCATGATGACAGCTGCTGGTGCTCCGGTGTTTTTTGTCCACACAGGCACTCCAGAGCAGGTCGGCCCGCTTCAGGCCTCAGCAAGCATTGACTCTGCACCACCCCTCACTCATTGGCAGTAAAACAGGGCAGCACAACTTACAGCACTGCAGGGCATCACAGCTACAGCAACAGAATTTTTTTCCACTCAGGTTTTGCGCTCAAGAAGGCCCCCGGGAACTGGGACTCTGCAAAAGGTTTCGTGATCGATTTCGGATCTGCTGATGCTAACGATCAGCGACAGGCACACTCAGAGATGCATCCTAAGCAAAACCTGCAGCCAACTGCTGCATAGAAAACGGATGCTGCAAAGCGGCTTCACTCCTCGAAAACTTCCTTGGCCTTGGTCTGGAGCTTCTGCAAGGATTTGCCCATGCCCACACACTTCTTGGCCAACGTCGAGGCCTTCTTCGTGCCCTGGCCGTTCTCCAGGTCCTGCACAGCTGCCTGCACTTCCTCCACCAAGGTCTGTAGCTGCGTAACCTCCTTCTTGGAAGGAGGCTCATCCTTCAACGACTTCTTCACCTTTGCAATCACTCGCTTCGTGACGAACAGAGCTTGCGAGACCTTCGACTGGGCCTTCTTGTCGTCCTCGTTCTCCAGGGCGATCGAAGCTGTCTCGATCAAGTCCTGAGCATTCTTCTGCGTCTTCTCAGGCTCTTTGACACCGAGGAGCTTCTTCAACCCGGGATCCAAGCCGCCCTCCTCGTCATCGTCGTCCGCCTCGAAGACACCGTCGAACGAGTCCAGGCCTTGGCCCACATCCGTCAAGGATTGCTTCTTCAAATCCATCACCTGGGCGAGGCTCTTGTTCTTGCTGGTGGAAGCACTTCCGGTCAAGGTGGTGGACTTGGTAGTCGTTGACTTTTCCGTGTGGGTCTCCTTCGACACCTCCCAAAACCGGTCGTCTTTTGGGTTGCGGCGGGCCGTCAGCGACCCCGAAAGCAGGCGGGCTCGGAGCTCTTGTAAGCCCCAATAATCGACGGCCGCCTTCCATGGGATATAGGCTTGCTCGTCTGACGAGCTGAAATCTTTTGTAAACGAACAAGAGATCTGGAAATAGGCGTCCTTTAAGCCACTGACCAGGTATGTCTTGAGCAAGGCCTTTTTTTTCTTGTCACTGCCGGGGCCCGACAACTCCTTGTACTGCTGGTTCACGACCTTGCCCTGCTCACCTCCAAGCTGGCCTCTCTCGGACTCGAAGTTCTTCCAAAGGGACCACCTGTGGAACAACTTAGCACGAACCAAAACAAAACAAATCCTGGACTTATTCAGCCCAGTACCAACACATGAACAAAGCTGTCGAAGCACGGCCTCTCTTTGGGGCCCAAGTCCTGCAAGAACTTCTTGAAAAGCTGGTCGGTCTCCTCCGAAGGCTTGCCTTTGCAGGACTGTCTGAACCTCACGAGCTTGTTCTCCAAAGTGTCGTCGGGAAGCAACTGCAGGTTCTGCTCGGTGAGGCCCTTGCTCTCAGCGGACTTGGAACTCTGAGACTTGTCACCGGCGTCACTGCCTTTGAGCTTCTTCTGAGCTGCTTTCTCCATCACCATGCAAGGTCTCTTCAAGATGGGCATGGCTCCGGAGCACAAACCCACACAAACACACACACGGCTCTGGCAACTGGGAAAAGGCTTTGCACAGGCACGACAGCATCCAATGCATGCAGCCAAAATCGATAGCATAGCACAGCCAAAACTTTAACACAGCAGGCACCAAGGCAGTGGCGATCCATTTGCAGTCATCAGGTCTTGGCCGAGTTTAGAAATTATTGCTTGGGTTAGGATATACAGAGCTTAAGCAATATGGTTTGGGGTCTTGGGCTCCCGATATAGGCTTTAGGGCTTGCGTGCACGATTTTTCGGATACCTCCAGCCTCCTTAACCCTAAACCCTGAACCCCTAGACCCTAAACAGACTCGGCAGTCGCCGGGTTTGGGGGTACCCCCGAAACCAGGGCTCCCAGCAAGCCTCCACCAGAATAGAGTCTGCGGCCTCGGCCGTCCGAGTTGTTGTGTTTGATTTAATTGTTTTTGGTCTGTTGTTTTGTGAGGATATACATAGTTTACCTCAACCGAGTTTTTGCAGGTCTCCAGGGGTCGGCTTTGTTTTTTTTTGTTGGGAGCGGGGTTGGGTTGCCTCTTTTTCCTTCTCCTGCCCCCCCACACACCACCCCTCACACCCCCCAAAACCAACACGACAGTCGTGTTTTGCCTCCACCGCAACACCTTGAAGTCTCTCAGAATTCCTAGCCAAAAAAATGGCCCTGTAGCCACAAAATCCTCTGGTCCCGCTATTCTAGCAGGGCCATTTTTTGGGCCGCACAGGTTTTCACAGGTCTTCACAGGTCTTCACAGGTTTTCACAGGTTTTCACAGAACTTCACAGAATTTCACAGAACTTCACAGATCTTCACAGACTAGTCTGTGAAGATCTGTGAAATTCTGTGAAGTTCTGTGAAGTTCTGTGAAATTCTGTGAAAACCTGTGAAAACCTGTGAAAACCTGTGCGGTGCCTGTTTTGGTGAAATTCAATCCAACTTTTGCTGGGTTGTAGGGGTTGGCGGCTGCGTATTTTTTGTTGGTGGCGATTTCTTTTGATCGGGATGGCTGGAAACATAAGGGACAGGTTCTTTGCTTTACCCCCACCCACAACCCCACATCCCCACATTTGACGAATACCACAGGGCTTTTCCCTTTCGCAAAGGAAAAAGAGAAAAACCCGGTGGTTTGACGAACACCACAAGGGTTTTCCCTTTCGCATGGGAACAAAGGAAAAGCCCTGTGGTGTTCGTCAAGTTTTCTGCACGTGTCACCTAAAAGGTTTTAGGTTGAGGGATTAGGGGAGGTTTTTTGTTTTGGTATCTCGGGTCTGGCCCGGAACTCGACAAAACCATAACATCAGCAGGATTTGGAATTCAGGGCTGTGCTCAGCACAAGACTCTTTCAACCTATTCGTTTATGCGGATCTGCGGGGCTGTGGGGGTTTAAGGTCTGGTTCAGGGTTCAGGACTCTCAAAACCCGAAAAGCATTAAAGGGTTTCGATTAGAAGGCCACCTCCTTCTTGCAATAATGAATATAAGGGATGATAGGTTTATGTAAGGGTCCTCTTAGATTCCTACTATCACACCATTACAGGTTCAGGGGGTCTTCTGAGGTTTCGGGTGTAGGGTTTATAGGACCAACAAACCTCCACTCGTAATTCGAAACCCACAACCACGAACCCCAAAACAAAAAACAACAAACTACCTAAAACCCAAGCCCTAAACTGTGAGTTCGGCAACCTTCTAAAGTCGTAACCGTTCGCATGAAACCCAACTCCACTTTTCACTCGATGCGTAGCCCAACCTCCCCAAACCCTCAAGAAACAACTGCAAATTGGGTTGCGGTTTTGCTTGAGGGCGTGAGTTTGGGATCTATTTCCCGACAAATCTATCTATCCATCCATCTCTCGATCTACTTGGCTACAACGATCTATGTATCTACATGACAGATAGATGTACAAAGACATAGACCAATACAGATTGTATAGATAGATACAATATTATAGACAGATAGGTCTTGATAGATTAGGGATTAGGGTTTAGGAAAAGGTTTTGGTTTAAGGTTTAGGGTTTATAGGGTTTAGGAAAAGGTTTAGGCTTTTGGGTTTAGGATATAGATAATTGTGAAAATCACGTGCTGCGAACAGCAGACCTAAGCCCTTAAAGCCTTAAGCCCAAAACACTAGACCCCAAGACTTGGGCGCCCAGACGTGCACCGTCAAAGTATAGGCAGATGTAGGGCCTGGAAGTGTTTCTGGGTTAGGCCTGAGGTTTGGGGCATGAGGGGCTTCGAGCTCAGGGCTTAAAGCCAAGGAGGCTTAGCGGCTTCGGGGTTTGGGCTTTGAGCCTGTTTGACTGTGTAGTTCGGGCATAGTTACACGTGTTGAAGCTAGACTTTGGGATCTGGCTATAGTTATAATGCTTCGGTGTCAGCCAGAGGCTTTCCATGGGGCGTTATACCTATATGTACACACATACATGCATACATACATACATACATACATACATATACATACATACAAATATATCTATATGTGTGATAAGTGCACACATATATGTAAGTTTCTCATCACTATCTAGTGCGTGGGGCTTACAAGCTGCCAGAAGCGACACTTGATGCACCAACAACCCTATCCAACCCACAGCCCGAAACCGGAAACACTTTAAACTATGAGCTTGAAAGCCGGCACTTGCAATAAACAGCCTTGAACCGTAACATCCCAACACTAAACCTAAAACCCGAGGCCCGAAATCGAAAAACTCCTAACTCAAAGCCTGAGACCTTACACCCTACAATCCCCCGCCCTTAACCGTAAACTCTCAAACCTAAGCGTGAGACTTCAAAGCCCCGAAAAGATGGCCACATATTGCCTGGATTTGTGCAACCCAGACTGTGGCACTGCGGTTAAAAGAGAACCCTCAACCGATACACCGAAAATCTGGCATTGAATGAGGCGAAGGCAGTGAGTCTCGAATCCTGGCCCGTACCTGGCCGGCTCATACAAAAAACATCCTTCTCCACGACACATAGCACTTAAGTCTGGACTCTGCAGGCGGGCTGGCATGCAGGCAGTTTTTTCCAGGAGCTGCAGACCCACTCACCTACTCTGGCTTGCTTTTCTTCTTCTTCTCTTCCTCCTCCTCCACTTCCTCATCTTCCACCGCCACCTCCTCCTCCATGTCCTCGTCGAAATAGTCGGCATCCTGCGGAGCCTCGGTCGTCACACCGTCCTTGAGGCCTTGCATGTGCTTCTTTTCCATTGCTGCTTTGAGCATCCCGATCTTCACCACCTTCTTGTGAGAGTTCTGCTCGAGCAGCATCCCCAGCATTCGTCTCAAGAACTTGACTTCGGACTCTGGCGGGCCTGGTTCCTCCAGCACGACATCCTGAGCACGGGCTCGGCCGGAGCTCCTCTGAGCCCTGCGAGCAGCTTGGCACGGCTTGCTGCCACGATTCTTGCCCATCAGCCCAGCACTCTCGAGAGCAGAAAACCAACACGGGGCTTGAGCACCAGCTGCTGCAGCTCCCGATTCACAGTTCCAACATACTCTGCAAGCTTTGCGACAATGAACATGCAGGCTTGCAAGCATGAAAGCTGTGCTGGCACAAACGACATGATCCCAAAAAGACGTGGCAGCATCACCTGCAGGTAAAGCAGTCGTGCTGTCTGTGCTGGCAGACACGGTCCACCTGCATTTTGAAAGGCTTTCTCAAACGTGGACCGTCTATGCTTGAGAACTTCAGGGAGCTATTAGGGGATGTCTGAAGCATGCTCTCTAGGACCGAGTTGCATGGTTAGCATATCAAGAGGCAAGGTCCCAGCCTGCAAGTCTTCAAGGTCTCTTCGTTCGTGGCCTTGGCATGTGGTTCTTAGCAGCCCTAGCAAGCGACCGGATTGCCGGACTGATTGAGGCGATTGCCCACTTCCGTTCAGCACCCACCTTGCCAGACCTCACTGAGAAAAACGCCAGAAAGAAACTCGATCACAGAAAGTTGGGCTCATGAAGAAGCAGAAACGAACTTTTGTGCTCGTGGCTCTGGTCGTGACAGGTCGCAGCCTACACGAAGCAACTCGGTGTGCAGATACTCCATCTACACTTGGAACAGCCTCCAGGTCTGAGCTTGGCTCGCTGCTCTTTCGACAAGGACTTGTAGTAGGAAGCTGGCTTCTTGAAGGCAAAGTTCTTTCGCTTTTTCTTTGGACCGGCGTTGGTTTTCATGGGTTTTGCGATGCTTTTCATGGGCTTCGTGGCTTTCTTCTTCATGGGTGTCTTCACCTCCGGCTGATCAATTCCAAGGCTCTGCTCAGCCATGCTTTGCTCATCCATCTCCTTGGCGTCCTGGGCAAAGAGACGAGGGAAGCCAGAACTGTCCACTGACAAGGCACTCTCGGCACTAGGCTGCGGTTTGAGACACCTTTTGGCAGGACTGAGCGAAGAAGAGGCAGGCTCTGGCTTGGGCTTGGAGCCCATGCTTTGGCTGCCAGGCCTCGAGGTTTTCGTCACCCTTGCAACAAGGGCGGTGAGCTCCTCTCGCTGCTCGCGGGCCAGTTTACTACAAGCTTCTTGGAGGCGAACTGCAGAACAGCTGAGGCGACGAACATGATTCAGCAAAGTCAGGACCCGCTCAACCATCCAGTTAGCCCAAAGGCCAGGCGACAGGGATCCACTCAAAGCGGGGTAGCTCGAAACCAGCCCCAGCATCACGTCTTTCAAGAAGCTGATGTGCAGCTCTGCTGCCGGGACATGGTCCAAGAAGACACTGATCAGCATGGAGAGCTGCAACAAGCCTAGACCATTGGCTGCTTTCGATCGGGCCAGTTTCTCGTATGGCCCCAAAACGAAGGCATCTTTCGTGCCTTTCGCTTTGACGTACTCTGACAACGACTTCTTCAGGCCCTCCTTGTCATACTTCGGAATGCACGATCTTTTGGGGGCCATGAGATCTACCTGGTTCCTCAGGAACACTCCGACCTCGACCCTTGAGCCAGGCAAAACCTGCATCGGTGTTTCAAGCTTGGCAGCAATGCTCCAC